AAGATAAAATCCATATCACCGCGCGCTCATGTAATATCCTCTATTTATTGTATTCGTATCTTTTTAACGAGATAAGAAACGAATTGTGCATTACGTCATCGAGTAGGCAGGATCCTGTACTCTTACATGAGACAGGGTGCCCCTAGTGGTATAGGGCCAAAATCCTTTGTTTTAAATCCTCCAGGGAAAAGAAAACAAAAGAGTTTGCCCTACAACGTAGGGGCACCCTATCTCATACGTAAACAGGGTCTTAAATGGTCGAAATGATGTACAGCATAACCGCTGCATAAAAACGATGATTTTAGCGCATATAAATTGAGTACAAAAGTTGATAGAATTAAGACAACATTTGTCGCAAAGTTTTGGAGTAGAGTCATGCTAATCATGTTCACGCCCAGAAGTGCAGAAGTACTTTCGATTCGCCCCAACTGAGAAACATGCATTCTTGTCCTTTTGTGATATCCTTCGTATGCTAGTTGTGGATCTGGTAGTATGTTATTATTCACCAGTAATGCATCTATATATGATTTGTTGTTTTTCTTTACAAGCGTCAAGCTTAACGTGCTACAAGTGTGAGAGCACAATTTCTTACGCCGACTGTGAATCGAGACAAGAACAAGTTGCGTGCGATAAAGACGAGGACACGTGCATCAAGGGAGACATCAGTTACCAGGTAAGCTTAACTTTTAAAGGCCCAGTGTGCACCATTATGCTTTGCGCGCCTCTGTTATTATTATGATTTACACCAAAATACTATCTAGTATCCAAATATCACCATAAAAGGAATGTCCAATGGTTGAAAACTCTAATATTAGCGTTGAAAGTGCTTAGAAAAGTGAGATAGTTTCGAAACACACAGTAAAGTTCAGTAGACTTTCGGTAAACTGAAAACCGCCAAGCCCTCGCGGCCCCCAAAGCATAATGGTGCATACTGGACCTTTAAACTCAGTTTTCTCCTTTTTTTGCCGCTGCCATTTTCAATTGTACATGTAGTAACCTGATCCAGCGCCGGATTCGCATGGGCGTTTGAATATTCAACTTTACAGTTCCCTGGCTCCATCTTGAAAGTGTGTGAGTTTTAGTGAGTCTTAGATTATTAATTGGTCTGAAACAAAACCATAATTGCTAGTTTTTTAGGAATACAAACAAACAACAACAACACAAATTTGTCAAATTTCAACCTAAAAGCATTTGTCTTGATTGCCGGTCTTGATGCGAATTAAGTAGTTTTAATTCGAGGTGACTGTCCCTCTGTCAAACCAACTATATGTACTAATAGACTTGATCAACTTTATTCTTAGCTTCACAGCCAAGATCACAAATCCTTTCGGAAATACTGTGCTGTAAGCTCGAAATGCGACAAGGAACAAAATCCTCAATGCAAGACCGCTGCATTGGGAGAAAACATCGAATGCAATATTCACTGTTGCTCTCTGAATCTCTGCAATGCAGGCTCAAGCGTTATTGTCAGCGGTGTAGTAATGGTAGCAGCATTCATTGTTATGGCATTGTTTTAATTGTGAGAGGAATTTTTAAGTAGATAAAGTGATTGCTGGACTATAGTAATACTCAGTATTTGGTATGGTTCTAAATTGCTTTTGTCAGTTTTTATATACCCACTGAAAGAAAAGAAGGACCTATTGGTATTTAGAAGAAAATTGTACATTTTTAGTAGATATTGATGATATTCAATAAACTATAAATATTGTAATTAAGGAAAGAAAATATTCTTCATTTTTTGCTCRACCCAGGCACTGTTCACACCTACTGCCCGAGCACGGTACTCGCGATATGTGCCTGGGCATCGTATTTGATAATTCCCTTCTTCGATCAGTTTTTCTTTCTGTATTCATTCAGTCCTCACTGCCCTCCTCGTATTACTTCTTGTTTTACATCTATCTTCGTCATCTATCTTAAGCGAAGGAGAAGTCCTTTTCCTTCCAGCTCTTCTGCTCTTCTTTAGTAGATATTGATGATGTTCAATAAACTATAAATATTAGTGCTTTGTGATTAAGGAAAGAAAATATTCTTCATTTCTTGCTCGACCCAGGCACTGTTCACACCTACTGCCCGAGCACGGTACTCGCGATATGTGCCTGGGCACCGTATTTGATAATTCCCTTCCTCGATCAGTTTTTCTGTCTGTATTCATTCAGTCCTCACTGCACTCCTCGTATTACTTCTTGTTTTACATCTATCTTCATCATCTATCTTAAGCGAAGGAGAAKTCCTTTTCCTTCCAGCTCTTCTGCTTCTTCCTCAAGTCCACAGACTCCAAAGAAATCATACTGCCGGAAACTGTYAGACAAAGGGKTGGRGAGCTTGAAAGCCCTATCCCGTCCCTACTTCCCAAAAKCTCGCGCCACGCAGGCTACGAAACTGTACCCGAACATTCATCGTCCTCATTTTCTCAAACTTCCCCGCATATATGAAAGCATACAAAACTATAGTTAATACCACTTTCAAAACCCAATTGTCACGAAATAGCGTGTAATCTACTTAATATGAAATACTTTTCTAAAGACAATGAAATCTGGCCTTATTTAGAAAACAAACTAAGCTTTTATTTTGATCCCTAACTAATCACTAAGAATCCAAGCTGTTACATCAATATTTCCTCAGAAAAGAATTCGTTTTTACGGCGATTACTTTACTTGAATGGCATCTAGTGAAGCACATCGTTCCAAACAACACCCATACAATTGGAAAGCTTATTCGTCAGAAACGTCGCCTAGCAACCAGCTATGCACAAAAAGAACCATTTCTAACTAAGTGAGTTTGATTTATACTAATAATCCTACCCGTGGCTTCCAGTGACGTTGTTTTCACTACGGACATATCGATAAGACGCACGAAACAACCTCAAATCTTACTTCGACAGTGAGTATTTTTTTAGAAATGATTGCTGAACTTTGATTGAATGAGTTTATTTAAAACACGTTTCTTTGTGTTTTACTCGTAAATTGTGTTTATCCATCACGGCACATGTGACTTTAAGGTTGATATTCACAACTACGACAAATTATCATTATCGCATTGGAAATAAGGCTATAGCTAAAATAACACCTAATTACATAAACATAGTCTAATGGAGTTTCTCTGTGTCCTAAAGTTTGTGTTTAATGATGTATAAAGTATTATAATTAAGCGTAATTATTAATTTGGCCAAAATACTTTTGACCTAATCAAATACTTGTTTCTGCCTATCATCGTCCAAAGCTACCGTCCTAAACCATGTTTATCTTTGAGATATTAACCTAAGTTGTAAAATCAATAAAGCTATTGTATCAGGGACGGTGATCTAAGATACGAAAACCTATTCGAACGTAAAAAGTTTACAGTAACAGAGAGTTGATTTTGGCACAGATAGCGAATCTGAAAGTTTGTTTTAAGAATCRAGGTTCCTGAAGAATTTAAAACTATTKAGCTTGAAAGTCACTTCAATTCCTTTAAAATTGTGCTATGTCACTTATAGGATCTAATTGACTCTATAGACGAAAAGTTCTAATATACACAAACAACTACAAAAGCCATMGTCAACAAATAATATTTTGAGTTGTCGCAACGGGGTTTAACATTGATCACAGTCATAATACACGAGCTAGCATGCAAACTTACATGATGAAGTAACGTTATTGAATATATAGTCGTTTAGACTATAACTTGCGTCTAMTAATGCATCCACATAGTTCCTTTAGATCGTGCAATCTTTTTTGTATTCAGTGTTTTCTTCGATAATCGTTTTAAAAATAGTTGTATATAGTTTYTTTTTCACAGCGCCGACTTATATTYATTCACAGCTTGAGCAACAATATAATACTGAAGACTTGATATTGTATTCATWTAGTATAAAGGAGCTCTACTTATAATCAAATCAAGTTGTCTTTTAATCGATTTTCTGATCAATTTTGTGTTGACGGAAAGTGAAGACGCATGGTGTAACTGTATTAATTTTAAAAACGAAATCGCTCTGCTATCTTGAGTGCTTATAAGTCAAAACCAGATAATTACTTTAAAATTAAGAGCTCCGCGGATTTTCTGGGCGCAATTTTCAAGGACAAGAAAAACGAACAAAATAATGAAATTAAAAAGTTAATCACATTAACCAAAGTTAAACCACACTTAACCATGGATTAAAATCAACTTTTAGACTATAATTTGGAGATCATAAAAGTGAATTTATATACAGCCAGCGTGTGCCAAACACATTTTTTTGCAATTTAGGCTGTTTATTTATCACCGTGGAAAAATGAAACAATAGGAATCGAGCTTATCGATTTTTTCCTCTTATTTTTCTCTTCCTCTACGATTCGCAAATACAAATTACTGTTTTTTTGCGCTGCGCGATATATATAAGGAGTGCGGAAGCGGGAAATTAAAGCTAAAGATAATTCACAATCATTATATAAAGCCATCAAGCTTTGAATTTATTTAATTTCGAATTGAATAATTAGATTCGAAAAAAAAATCTAAAGGATTTAGTTGGCAATGCCACTTTTAAATGCTGCACTTTAGAATTCACAGATACGCTAAGACAAACCACTGGAGTGTATAAGGTATAGTATATTAAACCCTGTGTGTTCTGGATATGAGGCGATCAAATACTTTATATCTCGTATCCTATGAATAGAAATTACATATATATTTTTAGCTTTTTTTTAGAAAAATAACCCATTGAAGAATTATTGATCCTCTCTATCAACTATACTTTGACGATATGGCAGCCATTTTGGTTAGGGGTAGATTTAATAAAGTTTTTTTTCTGTAATGGCGCTGATTTTCATTAAGCTCATAATGGAGACATTGTTGAAAAAGACTGAAATGTTTGTAACCTGACATTTTTTCCATACATATATCATGATCATAACACCGAAAGGCATTATGGAGTAATCGGAGTATGCAAGGACAAAGCAACTGAACAAAAATCATAGTTTATCAAGAGCGCTTCCTKTTTTTTAAAATAACTAAAACAACTTTTATTTCAGAATATTGATATCCTTACAAAGCATTCATTTCAAATGATGATTTGCCACTATCAAGATGAATGACAGCAGTAGTTCCCTCGCCCAAGTGCATTCAAAGGGTTTACCGGAAGTTGAAGAAGAAACACCGACGGATGACGTCATACAAGTCCCAGGCCTAATTACAGATGAATCGACAAAAAKCGCTGGACGTAAAAGTGGGCAAAGAATTAAATCAAGTATGACATGGATAGAATGAAAAAATTACCTAATCAATGAAAATATACATAGACTCCCTATGCCGATTAAGATCATATTCATTTTCTGTATATTGAAGGCTTTTAACTAAGATATTAGGTRCTAAGTTTGTAGATTCATTGTAAATTTCTTTTTTGAACGTYAAGGTAAATCAAACCGAGCAGCTACTGGTCGTAGCAAGTTGTCCAGGGCTGCTACACCCGCTGGGGWGAGATTTGCTGAAGCTAACAGCTCTGGCGAAGAGTCTGTTCTTGACAGCGACTACGATACAGACTTGGAGATAGAGGAACTACGTGAAGAGTTTGATCCCACAGGCCGCAAAGCGTACARGGATGCCTGCAAACAWCTAGGAATAGTACCAGTCTCCTTTGTCCTTGAACACATAACTGACGAAGCTTTGGATATCAAACACCATGGACTAGGACCTAGTGGAGCTAARGCGGTTGCAATAGCTTTAATGAACAATACGACGACCACAAAGGTTAATCTCTGCGACTGCGCGATCGGTAAATATCGACAATTTGGTATTTTATCCCACATGTTAGATGTGAAGTGACGGTAGATTCAGCGTTTGTTTGTTGACTTCTCTCCAGGTCCCGAGGGCGGTGAAAACATTGCAAAACTACTCAAAGAGAACTTCTACGTGACGGAAATCGATGTGTCACACAATAAAGTCCAAACACAAGGCTGCATTGCGTTCTGCGAGGCTCTTAATGAAAACACTATCGTCCAATCACTCAGTCTTGGGTGGAGTGAATTAAAARATAAAGATGCGGTTCCATTGTCTGATATGATGAAAAATAACCGCGCCCTAAAAACACTCGATTTGAGTGGGAATGGGTTTGAAGAAGAAGCAGGGCTTCATTTTGGTAAGTGAAATGTGAAACAACAATAATAACAACAATAACAACAATAATAATAAAAACAACAACAATAATAACACAACAGCAACAACAACAACAACAGCAACAACAACAACAACAACAACAACAACAGCAGCAGCAACAACAATAACAACAGCAACAACAACAACAACAACAGCAACAACAACAACAACAACAAAAATAACAACAGGAAGGGATTGGGAGGTAGATTAACAGCTTAAGTTTAATTACTTTAAATTCCTTTCACATAGGTCCTTCAATAGATGCCAACGACACACTCGAGTCCCTAAACCTCAGTTGGAACCATCTGCGAGGAAAAGGTGCAATATCAATTGGCAAAGGACTGAGAGCCAACGTYAGTCTCAAGTTTTTGGACCTGTCGTGGAATGGGTTCGCCGACGACGGAGCTGCAGCAGTTGGGGAATCTCTTCGAGAAAATAACACCTTGGTTGAGCTTGACATTAGTAATAACAGGATATCTACTAAGGGTGCTTTGCGGTTATCAGAAGGACTTAAAATTAATAACACATTAAAAATACTAAGGTACTACACAGTGTATATATGATCAACAGTGCTATCGTATGATAGGCGTCTTAAAATGAAATATTGGCATAGGAAATACGTGTTACATGTTGCCATTCAGTGATGTACATACTCACGTGACAGTAGTGTAATGGAAAGCAATTGAAGATTACAGAGAGAGAAAGTATAAGATATTCTTTCTCTCGATGATTCGATCGAATTTTACTTTCCAACTTCTTGGCTTTTCTTATGCTCACGTGCATTAAATAATGAGTCGAGGACGACGATGAAAAATGATGACCTATAAAATCGAAGATATACCTTTTCAATTTCTGTTTGTAGATGTGGCATGAACCCCATCCAAAACGCCGGTGCCAACGCTATCCTCAGCGCCATGAAAAACAACGTTGACTCCGCAATGGAAAGACTGTGCTTGAACAAAGTTGTCATCGACACGGAGACTAAATCTATCGTTGACCATATYATTGGAATGCGTCCGTACTTTGCAATYACGTGCACCCTGAGCAACTGTAATGGAAATCTTGCTGACGAGCTCGACGCYCTGCTGGGAGGCATGAGCAGAAAGAAGAAGCTTGCCGAACTCCTCAACAGGCTCGTAGCGTACATTGATCGTATGAACTACCGAATGGTCGACCTCTTCAACCAGTTTGATAAAGACAAAAGTATGTCTGTCAGCCGAGAGGAGTTTTATACCGGTTTGAAATCGATTGGAGTTCCGATGGACAACCAAGACATTACCCTATTAATCAATCTACTGGACGATAATGGAGACGGCGAGATCGACTACAGTGAGTTTGTGGCAATTAGAGACGTCGATGAAGATGATATCAATGCAACGATATAACAGAGATGCGCATGTGCGGAAGAATTGGTTGAAATAAATGACTTGTCATAAATTAAGTTAAACGTTTAGTTATTTAAATCGGCCATATTTGAGGGATAAACGTGAGTGATCATCATGAGTTTGGAATCCACATATTKACTGGGAAGGCTGGAACGTGTAATGATCTTTTGTAATCTTAGGTGGCGGAAGCAGGGCAGCTGAACCCCCCTCCCTCCCCCACGATCAGAGTACAGCGGTTTCAATTTACAAATATTTTTCATACCTTTTTGTGAACTTATGTTTGTAAATACATTTACCAGCAAACCCAAACAGTCGTACTCCCCTCCCCCTCACCCATGACTTTCGCTTCCTCCGGCCCTGACAATTACATTGCATATAAAAATACAAAAATAYAGTGTTACAAGTTGTGTGTGCATCGTTCAATTCTTAGTAGTTAACTATACATGGCGCGCATGTCCATTAAAAGAATTACAAAGTATTATAGGAAATACATATTGTTCAATGTTGATCCTCTGTTTTGTGTATACAATAGATTAATTTAATGAATATAATATCGCTTGGTTTAAAGGAACGGGAACGRGCCAGAGTAACAACAAAAGTAGGCTATAACTTATGAAACGAGTTGAAATGTCTTCACTGGATGTTATTAGAGACGGCAACATTTATTCTGAWAACTGGGTAATGAACTGCTAGCAGTAGTGTTTTCATAACGCAAGAGCAGTTTTATTTTATATATCGCAAGTAATTCAGAGTGTATCACTGCATTTTAATTGATCAATTATCAAATACCTGTGATAGAAAGGATTTTGCTTTAAAACAATTCATAAACTGATTATCTTTTTTGCATAACTGRCATAACTCAATAACACTATCTGAATTCATCATTTCCGAAAAGAATGTAAGCCATATACATTCGATTTTTRCCCCAAAAAATACTTCGCTCTAAAAAGAAGTTGTTCCCTACTGCATTTGATAATCTTATAACTTAAKTCACTTATTCATTCTTCTGTTGTTTTGTTAATCTTCTCAAAACAAAAACATCATATAGATATATCTTTTCCAAAGCTACGTTTTGTATAGAGGATCATAACAATCGGTTGTTGTTGGAGTTTCTTGCACGTAATAAACTTATGCAACTCCGGGTAGAAAGAAGTTAAATTTCAGCACAGCTTTTGCGGATTCTATTTTCCGGCACTTGCCGTTGTTGGAGAAACTACAACTTGTGTATAAGGTTAGTTCTTTTGGTGTAATGACCAGCTAACAAGCCGTCGCTTTGTTTTAATTGAGAGGTATATATTGGGCGTATAGTGTTTGTTTGGTAAATCTGGAAAAATATTTACTGAGGGGTTGTAATTTTATGAAAAGTTACTAGAAAAACGGAATAAAATAGGACTGTGTTATGACGGTGAACGACTGTGCATGTTACGGTGTTTCAGCCTATAAATCTATAGCTTTTTTGATGGTTGGACATTCCATACGACGGTCGAGTTCAGTGCTTTACAATGTAAGCCAAAATCATTTCTGCAGAGAGCTCATAGTGGACACCAATTTTCGGCATGCATACTCAATTTGCATCGATTCTTGAACTCAGWTTAAAGCTCTTTAGAAAGCGTTTAAAATTTGTGTTCCCGCGAGGCATCAATGTTTTTATGTATTATGGTTTGATTTTGATTTCAAACCAACAGGGGTGCAGTGAATCGCGATTTTCTGCGCATGCCTGTGATTTTATAAAGATAMTCCACTGGCGCCTATTAACCGCAATTCAAAATTTGAGTTACACAAAGTGATTGAATATTACTTTAATTAAGAAAATTAATTTTTGCTTTTACGACTTTGCAGACACCAGTAAAGATTGGACATCGAATAAGACTTTGTGATGTCATGGATGGTTGYCTTGTTGATGAGCAGCAGGAGTCTTCATCTTAGTGGACGGGAAATCATTACTATATGAAATATTAATTGGATACGATTATTGATAATATCAAACCTCAACAGGCAATATCAAAAATAGAAAGCGGTTGTTTTTGTTTTGATCACATACATGTAACCGAAAGAAGAATCGAAAGTTCGAAATTACTCTCTTGATCACTGACAGTTTGCAAAAGTAATATATTGCRATTTTCCAGCTTATATCCAACGCAGTTTCCTCCGAACCGTACTTGTCTTTGCGACAGTGACGATTACTGAGATCACTGTCGAATCCTTTGGAGCGAAATGAGCCGAGTTGTCCTCCGTCGACAGGTTTCTGAATCCTCTGGCCAATCAACACCCATTCCAGATAACAACCTTCTCCGTCTGAAAAGAATTTCACAGTCTTTCGAGGATTTGACGAGTGAGACGCTGTATAGCAAGTGGAAAARGGCGCGAAAAAATAGCTCGAAAACAGATCGACGCGGCCGCAGCATTTCGTTGAGCTCGCTACCCGAGGAGGAGTTTGATATCAATGGKRRSAACGAACAAAGAGAAAGAACCAATAACACAGCCGCTGTTTTACAAAGGAATTTGTTTAGGCCAAGGGGATGGACGGTTTGCAATGGCCAAATCTCTAGAGATAACGACCCGAAAGGTGTAGTGAATATTTCAAATAKCCACAAAGATAGCTTATTATCTGATGATGCCCCATCGTTAWCTGGAATTCAAGTCGACACTTYTCCGATGTTCATCGCCGTAACTTCGGAAAATATCGACGACGATGTTTTTAGTCTYTCAACTGCAAAACCTGACRCAGATGATGCCATCGAAACCAAAAAACATAAAATTATAAATGAAATCATTTCAGGAACTTTTTCAAAAGTGCGAAGTTTTTCCGACAGCGACCGAAGGATTATTGATCTTCCGTCGTTAAGGTRCCGATTGACGAGCGACCCCGAATCATCACGCCGATCAAATTCCAAAACACGCGCTCGGAGTCTTTCATGTCAAGAGCCTAGAGAAATTGAATTCCTGCGAACTGCAGAAATGGCCCACAAGCTTCTGGATGGTGCAAGTGTACCCGGAGAAGATATATGGCAAAAGAGGAGCTCTACTGGGGACCTGGTAGCTGAAGGTCGACACAAAAGAATGTCACCTTCCTCCGTAATCCATGCGAGGTCTGAAATCAATAATAACCCTTGTAATATTCAGGAAGCCTCACTTGGATTCCCAAATGACAGGTCACAACCAGATGCAAGGAAGCGTTACCTTTTGGGCTGTACGTATGCTCTGATACGTCAACCAGAACCACAAATAACTAATTCAAMTCACGGAGGTTTTCCGAAGAAAATAAACTATCAAGATCGTATCCATAATCGAACAATGAGCGAACCTAGCAAGGGATTATTGGCCAAGAAAGAATCGAGATCAACAGAGGAGAAGGAGARAGACGATCGGACCGTTCAATTCAAACAAGTCGAATTTGTTTCTGACATCAAAGGAAGTCCAATGACTGAAGGGAGCCATCACGGTGTGAGAAGAGCACAGACTTTACCACGTATGCCTAAACGGCCACTCGCTAGTCTTACTTCAAGAAACTGGAAAGAAAGCGAGCTCAAGACTCGTAAAGCCGCCGAGGACTTGATCCAAAACATTAACAACAGCGATGAAAAAAGCGCCCAAGAAAGGGTTGATATTGTTGAGACAGCTTTTGAATGGATTCGAAAAGAAGTGGCYGATCTACGGGCCCAAGATAAGGATATCATGCGAATGTTTACTAAAATACAGGCAGGAATACGACACATCAAATTCGATCAGAGYGCTTTAATGGAAAGCGAAGAGGAGTTTATATCGACTCCTGATTTATCTAGTACTCAGTCAACTTCAGTTGGAGGTACTTCAATACATCGAAGGGCGAGTTTGCTGTGATWATATACGACGTTTTCCATTGATCGAGCCTCATAAAAACCTATTTGATCGAATCAACAAAGAAGCTTAACAAATAGGAATTCGATCAAAGGATCGGTGAACACAAAGGATCGTTGTTGTTTATGAATGAATACAAAATTCTAATAAGTCACCGCTTCAAAAATTGATGTATTAATTGATTCCAGACGAATTACATTCATTCCTCGATACAAGAGTTATATACAACCACAACCACAGCACTGTCGATCAMAAGGAATATAACTATATACAACATGTTACAGAAATTATGGAACTCATTGTATCGATGTTGTTACGGAGCTGTGAAACACCGATGGATCAAAATTAAATTGTACAATGTGGTATTATAGAGAGTCTATTGAAATATGATTGTATATTTGAAGTATAACAATTAGAAAAACAATTAAACATGAAATCACGAACGAAAATGCATTCATCAACTGGCGTGACGCTATAAAGTAACGCAACGCTTAAATTGTCACGGAAAACTCACACTTGTAACAAACTGAGAATACTTCAAAGAAAACAGTAAGCTAATTTGTGCGCAAAAGAGTTGAATATTCTCTATTTTTTGTGACCGTTCATTGCATCATGAAAGTGCCTAACAAA